CTGACCTTTGAACTCATCTTCGAACCTAAGATTCCACGGTGTTCTGGAACCAGAAGGTGGCTCACAAACATTTTGAGATAAACACCAGTGCCTTGCGGCGTGCGGCCAGTATGAATGATTCAACCCGGCCTGTGCAAGTGCGACTCGAGTTCCCTCGAGCACGGTTCTGATGCTTCGTTCAGCCACCGCGTTCGTTTTGTGAATGTACTCTTGGCTGAGGACATGTCTCCAGCCCATCTGTTCAGCTGCAGCAATTAACTCAGGGGCGTTGTCACTATAAAACGTGCCAACCTCGTCTGACGAGGAAGTGAAATGCTGAAACGCCTTCACAGTGGCTTCCGCGTTTCTTTTAGCAAAAGGGTATGCATATTTGAAACCGGTGGCAACGTCACTTATGACTAGGGCAGAGTACTCATCATCTATGCCTAGCTCCTGTTCGTCTGCAGTGATTATGAAATCGGCTGTGATGTGCTCAGCAAATTTTCGAGCATCAACCTGTCTGGATCCCCCCCGCGAGCGAGAGGGAGACTTGGTCATCTTAGCGCATTTGCACACTTCGCAGAATGGATTCTTTGGCTGGTGTGTCATCAGGTGCTTCCGTGATGCTGCTTCCTGCCTAAGGGCGCTTTCTGCAAGTGACCTAGGGCTTTTCTTATCGGGGTTGCCAACAACATCTTCCCCTGCCAAATCTTTACTCTCCATCGGCTCAGCAAGTTCATCCGGAATGACTTCAACGGGGTCATTCGCCAGAAGTTCGGCGACAACTCTAGCATGCACCTCAGGATCTTCTAGAGGGGCAATGCTAGGCGTATACTCTTCTTCCGCGGCATCTTCAGTTTGCACGGAGGAGGAGTATGATGATTCACTCGGTGAATTGCTTCTGGCGACCTGACCTTCCGGTCGGCTTGGCGGTGTTCCTCTTGGCGGGACACGCACATGCTGAGTCGCTATCCCACACGTCGTAGTACGGGACATAATCTCGAACTTTGAGATAAATTCTCGTCCCATCAGGCTTGACAAAGAATGGCTTCTCTTTTGCATGCCAGATGAAGTCATAACCCTGATTCATGCACTTCAAACCTACGGAGAGAACAGAGGGTGTTTGTGGCAACAAGTATGGATCCGTGTTCCCAAGGTCACCTGCGGCCATGTTGGCCTGCTTTGACGAATCACTTGGTCCATTGGCAGTCATCAACATCACGGGATCATTTGAATTATAAATTGCATATTCGGGGCAATTCGCGCGAGTGAAAAGGTCGGTCCCACTGCCAGTGTCAATAATCCATGAACAGTTCGGAGAAAATCTCTTGCTCGCCAGTGCGGGCTTTGCGCCCATGTCTCTCGGGGCACATTGCCAACATCCGATCTCGCTGTCACATTCGTACTTGCATCTAGTCGGATGGCCTTCCAATTCACGCCTCACAATGAAGGCGAGCATGGTTGCTTCGAGTCTCGCATCATCTATGCTGACTTCGTCATGGAAAAACTGATGGTCGATTGGGTAGACCTTTGAATACACGCGCGGTTTGTCCGCGATCTTAAACTGCTCACCATGTGCTGGTATCCGATTCATTTCAACCTTCGAGCTGAAACGCACACATGGGAGGGCAGGCATATGCTTCCAGTCCGACATGAGGTTCCCCTCAGCGATAGGGACGTTCATCATGGAAGACAACAAGCATCCCAACACACAAACAGCAGCAGGAGAAGGCTTTCCGGAAGACTTTCCCTTGTGACCCTTCTTCTTTTCTCCCTTGGAATCACGGGAAGTGGATCGAGAGGTCGACTTAGAACGATCCCTACTCGACTTGCGATGCTTCCGATCCTTTCCTTGCTTCTTTTGCTTGTCTGCGGATGGTTCCCTTGACCCTGGAACGGCCGGCTTCGGGTCGATGTGAGCAAATGGGCAGTTCTCACCACGGTCACACCTCCCCTTAGGGTAGAAACGGCACTCTTTCTTTCCCTTTGGGCTATTCGTTCGGCCTTTACCCTTACCCTTCTTTGGCTTAGCGTCTCTTGACGGGGTCCTACCCCTTGCATCGCCCGATGGCTGTTCATGCTTGTACGTGCAATTGTCCCGCCGACACGACCCATACTTGACAAACGCAATGCAAAACCCCTTAGGCACACGTTGGCTCTCAGCGGCGGGTGCGGCTGGCCTGCCCCCGTTCTGCCTAGCAACCCGTTCTCGGTTGCGCTCGAGCCTTGCTCGAGACAGGTATTGCCTCACAGATTCAATCAAGTAGGTGTATGAGTGATCGGCGGACTCTTCCGAGGCGCTCAAATAGACATTCAAATGGTGTTGCATTTGCTTGCTCTTTTTCAGCTGGTTGTAGAACAGAGCCTCAAGCATGGAGTCATCCGGCGTCTTGGCATTCATTCCTGCAAGAACACCCTCCCAGCTACGCATGAAGGAAGTGAGGTTATCGTTCACGAGCCTCACGTTGAGGAGATCCTCCATGGCATAGGTGGCTCCGTGCTTGATGTTCGTGCTCAGGTGCTCGTGCACCATGAGAAGCACTTGTCTCCCACGAACTGGATTCCTCTTCTGCGCCTCTACCTCCTTGAAGGTGTCGACTTGTCTCGCCAGGTCACCCTGAATGATGTTGGTGAGGGCGGACAGCAACTTGGCGTCCAAGGTGAGGAAGGTACCGGGTTCTTTGAGCTCCTCGATTGTAACGGCGGGCTCCCACACTCTGCTGATCCACGTGAAAGCGTCATCGGGGCGATCGGATGCCGCGCATACGGCTTCCCGCACCTTGATGCGCCAATTCCTGTAACTCTCAGGAAGTGGGAAGGAGGGAATGATAATCCTCTCCGCCTCCTTGACCTTGGGCTTGTCATGGTCTGCGTCCACTGCGCTCGCCTGCTTACCCAAGATCTTGTTGAGCTTCTTGCGGATCACTCGTGCCTTCTCCGATGATGATGATGAGGATGATGATGTTGAGGAGCTGGATGATGAAGAGCTTGGAGAGTCGGAAGGAGACCCACTCTTTCGCTTCTTGTGGCTCTTCTTCTTCTTCTTGTCCTTCTTGCTCTTCTTCTTTTTATCCTTCTTCTTCTTCTTCTTGTCCTTCTTGCTCTTCTTCCCATCGTCATTCCCATCGTCATCGTCGTCGTCAGGATCATCGTCATCATCGGGATTACCGGCAGGTGGTTCCCCACCGCCTCCGCTCTGGCCATTCCCTGCGCCTGATGGACATCCGCCACCATCGTTAAGGTCCTGTGCCGGAGATGTCGGTTCGTAATCCCCGGCATCCCCGTCAAGATCATCGGCGGCACCTGGCCCGTCACGGCGGAGTTCGGTGGAAGCTGACCTGACACGTACCTTAGAACTAAGATCCAGGCCAGGGGGAGGAAACGTCTGTACAGGAGAGGCCTTTGGCCTCAGACCGAAAATCGGAACATTAGAAGAACTACTCTGCTCACTGCGAGATTTCAGTTCATGACGTAGTGCCTCAATGTCCCTCGACTGCTTCATGATGATCTCCCTCATTTCAGCAGCGTTCCTGTCCGCTTCCTCCTTCTGCTTGTTGTGGGTGACTTCCCAAATCATCTTGAGCTGTTCATACCTCTGTTCAGCTTCTGAGCGTTGAGCAATCCACTGCCGTCTGGCCTCGTTGAACTCTCTTTCCTTCGCCATTGCCTCTTGTTGGCATACATTGATGTGGTTCACTGCGTCCTGATAGAGTCGGCCTTTTTCCTCAACATGGCCTGCTTGGAGCTGATTGATGATGGCGTCGTGGCGTGCCGAAGCATAGGCAGCCACTTCCTCCGTACTCGGACCTGTGTTGACCACATTCACCGTCTGGCTATGTTGATATATGTTCGGGGCGCTCACATGATGTTGATGAAGGTGAGTCTCATTCTTAGTCATGTGCGCGTGCATCTCTCGCCCAGGTTGATGTCCGGCGAGAGGTTCCCCTCCGCTTCCCATCGAATCCTCCGGAAGAACGACCGATGTGACGGGCACAAGCGCATCACCTTGGTCGGATTCAGGAAAACTGCTTCGGGAGCGCTGTGACGGATTGCATGGCGGTTTCCCTTCCGGATGCCCACCCTTGATCAATTCGTTGGCCACTGCTTCGTTCATCCTTGCTATGGCAGGGTGGCATCCGTCGCCGCTTGACGCCATTGCGGCGCGGGTGAGAGCTGACTGTACAAGGTACCAGCGATACGGCTGATAACCTGTTGAAAGGTGGGATCTACCTAAAAGTCAGCACGGGCAGCAGCTTGTTTTACTTGAGCCAGTATTATGTCGGTACGCCATTACCTATCAACAAGTTCTATTGTCGTTGAAAGTCTTTTTAGGTTAAAACTACCAAGATTTACAATGTTAAATCATATTATAATTCAATCATATGAATAAACAATATGTTTTAGGCTTGGTAATTCTGCAAACTTCAAACGGAATACAGTCTATCATCACAAGTTGTGGCTTGCTCATTCTCATGATGCCTTTAATTTCCCTGACCACATGTTCAATTGTAATCTGCAACTCCTGTCTACTTATCAGGATATATTGATTGGATACAAATTCCATGTCAATACCAGTATCATATTCACATGTTGCTCTAAATTCCATTTCAATATGTTGGTTATCAGCATTGCTCATTAGTTCCATGAGTTTTGCTGATGGGTTCAATGCATATGAAAATGCCTTATCACCCTTTTATTTTTTTGTTGCATACCTCGAGGTGCTACGTTATAACTGGCATGTCCGGAGCTTTACGCGGTCCAACAACTTCAGAATTAGTAGGTGGTGTCCATGTCCATTGTAAGTCTCTTAAAGCATCACATTGTTTCAGTCTATGCCACACTTCATCACCAAACATCTAAGAAGAGATGGTTGTCCTTTTGCAGGTCTGGGCTGCTTTCCGGTGAGGCTTCTGGCCCTAGATCCCAACTGCCGAGCTTTGTTTGACACCACACAGAGGCGAAGGAGGAAACCTCATCCCATCGAAGAGCCGGTGGCCGAGCTCGATCGAGTCGATTCGGTCCATGAAAGGCTGACCTGGGGCCGAGTACTCAAAGTCCACCAGCATAATGCCGCCATCCTTCCTGAATCCAAGTGGATGAAACCGGAAGCGGGGGTCAAACATCATGTTCGGATCAGGGCCAGAAAGTTGTGCCAAGGAATCAAAGGAATCAGGAAAATCCTAGTGGAAGTTTGCAAAAAGCGAAGATTGGGGGGGGGGGGGGGCATTCGACGCCCTTCCTGTTGAGTTTCCAGTTCGAGCAATAGAAAAAAAGAAAAAGAAAAACAAAAACAAAACTTCCTTGAGCTGTGGAACCCTTCAGGAAAAGAAAGCCAACCATTCCTCAAGCCGCAGAGTATCAGAAAAGCAAAGGACGATGATAACAGACATGCCGTTGCCAGTAATAGTGCAAACTACATGGACATGATGAAAAGTGAGTTCACTAGCTAGCTTGGACCAGGCCAGAAAAGGTAGAAACGCGAAACTGCAAAGAGGCTTCTCCATCAAATTGCAGCAGAGGGTCTGATGTCCCTTTCTATCCAACTGCCAATTGTTTCGTTGCTACTTGAATCTATGCCCGTTATGACTTGCTTTTTTGGTCGTTCCTTGGCACCTTTCCATGTAAGCGTTGCCAAGACCTTCGGGATCGGTTTAATGACACATGTTTAGACCATGGGTGACAAAACAGCAACTGGGCAAAGGGCGCTGTGGATAGAGAGTGGTGTTGTTTCCAACCCGAATGGAGAGCAACCCGGGAAGGACATCCCCCAATTGCAACGGCTGAACTACTGTGTTGGCGATCCGACCAGAAATGATGACAGGTCTCTAAAATCATTAATCCTGCCAACTTGTCCATACACTGCTGCGCGGGTGGGCATGAATGATCAGGGCTTGCACCATTCACGACCGAGCACCTGTACGGCCTCCAACGAGTTGTTTGGTCGTTGATACCATACCGAATCCAGAAGCGCGTAACGGGTCGGCAAGGGATGAACACTGCGGGCAAGTCAAAATGCCAAGGATACAATCACCAAAGGGATCTGTGAGTGCAAGGGATACTGTCTGCAATCGGAAACCAATTGTGTATGGTGTTTAAAGGGAACCCGAAAGGAAACTAACCATGTTTAGGGGTCCACATGACTCTTTGAAGCACCACTCAGGTGCTACTGAGGCCTTATTCGCAAAACGGTGCCTCCTTTTTTGCCGCATAAGGGTTAGTGCCAAAATGGGAGGATTGCCCAGTTCCACTGGGCAGCTCCCCTCAGCAGCTGATGGGAGTAGGATTGATGCCACTCCCACAGCGAGGGAGAAATCCTCCCACCTCACCGGATGCCCTCCCGGCATCATGGGTGAGGAAGGAAAGTAGCGAAGATCAGTGTGATCAATTCGCTCTCGACTGAGGGGAAGACCCGGTTCTCAGTCGGGAATTGCGGGTCCGGATGAGTAAGTCATCCGCCCACGTGTTGAAGTCGCGTTTCACATGCGACGGCCCCAACATGACCTGCTGGTCATGCAGCGTGAGCACAATTTCCATGAGGATGGCCGCATTGGGCATCCTACGAGTGGAATCGTTAAGAAGGGAGAAAACATTTCCCTGGTTATCACTAGCCACCAGGATCCTAGTGTGAGAAGCCGAGCCGGCTGCACAAAGCAGAACGGCCCTCACCAAAAGGAGGAGGCCGAAGAGCTCCAAGGCCGCTATCGCCCGCTGCGGGTCCCCAGTAGTGAAGGCCCACGGCTCGCCCTCCGGTGTGATTCTGTGCTGGAACCACTTAACACGGGACTTGTCGGGGTTGGGCACGTCCGAGCACCAACCACCCACCCATGCATGGTCCGCCTGTCTGCCAGCTCCCGCATCAGATGCCCCCGTCCATGGGAGTGTGGGAGCAAATGGGGATGCCAGTGGGAACCTCTGGTTGAAGAGTCTCCCCAAAAGTATGGCCAGAGCACGAACCAGCTTCGGTGCCCGAAGTGGTGCAGGCCTTCTTCCAGCTCCAAAAAGGCTGGAGGAAAGGTTTCGTCAATGGGCACGCCGAAGTAGCCCATTGAATACGGCCTAGGGCTTGTTCCACCTCCTTGCTGGTGAAGATGTCCCCCTGGGCCAGCCGTTTAAGAGTGGCCAGGATTATGACGTGTTTGACTGGAGCCAGCAGTACACAGGGCGTGATTGGGTCCACCACAAAACCCAACCAGGTATTGATCGGGGAGAGCGCCGTCTTCTTCCAGGAAAGCGGGACTCCCAGCGCCAGCAGTGTAGCCAAGATGGCTGTGGCGTCCCAGTCCGCCCGGCTGCATCTGAGGACCCAGCAGTAGTCATCCACAAAGACTAAGTGCCAGTCCACATGGGGGAAGATGTAGTACAAGAGCCTGAGCACCAGGGATGCCTTTCTTCCCCAGTACAGCTGTGCCGAGGCCATGCCGTACGTGCCCACTCTGTTGACCCACCACCGGTTTTGGATGCAGGCCACCTGGTATTTCCAGTCTTTAGGGAGCACTTTAATACGCCTGTGGGCCTTGGTGACATCTGCCTTGAGGATGATGAAGGTTTCCCCCTGTGTCGGCAGCTGCCATCTCAGGGGTTCCCCCCCGCTCCCCCCAGGGCATTCCGTGCCTGGGGGGGTTGGGGGGAAGGGGGCCCTCCTATCAGGGCCCTCGGCACCTGGGAGTGGTCCCTTTCCTGAGGGTGTCGATCCCAGAGAGACGTCCATGCCGCCGGAGGTATCCATAATCCCCCTGCCCCGATCAGGCCCCTCGGCCCTGGGGGGCAGGCTGGTGCTGCGGGGGTCCCTCTCAGGGCCCTCGGCACCTGGGGACTGCCCCTGCACCGGCTGGTGAACATCCCGAGGTCTCTCCTCAGTGTTCGGGAGCGTGGCCCAAAGTAGATGGGGATGGTCCGTCGCTGTCCTGAGCCAGTGGATGGCGTGGAGGCAGTCTCCGACCATCGGTGCAGTGGTCTTCTCCCCTGTGTGAGCCTGGATGTGTGCGTTTGCTCCCCCTTTGGAGCCATCGTAAATCGTCCTGATCTTGTCCGACTCATCAATCCCTGCAAGGGGGCCCGGGCAAAGTTCCTCCGGTTTGCAGCGGCACCTCTCCGCCGCCTCGGAGCGAGTGAAGGGCCCGTCCACCATGTCCAAGGCTCGTTCCTCGTAAAAGGTTGATTCGATTTCCTCGGCAAAGAGTTCAGCCGTTGGGTAGTTATCATGAGCCACTGGCGGGGGGGGGTCTTCCCCCAGCCAGGCTTCTCCCTTAAGCTCCTCCTTAGTGGGCCAAACTCCCGGGGAGGTCAAGGTAGGGTCCGAGACTCCCAAGGGGACCCCCTCTTTCAGTGTTAGGGGGAACTCCCAATCAGGGTCACCTGAAAGGGATGCCAAGTGCGACACTAAGTCCAGGAGGAAGGGTTGTCCTGGGCATCGTTCATGGAGGTGCCTCGGTCCTAGGATAGCCCGCAGCTCCTCGAGGTCGGCTTCCTGGAAGGGGTGTGTGGTGGCACCTGATGCCAGGGACATCCGGACCTTATCAATCCAGGGCCTGGTAAGGGTCATGATCAGGGCGCCCAAAGTAGCCAAAGGGGAAATTCTCCGAAAGGGGGGGTTGAGCCTCCCCGGGGAAGGTTTCCCCCCCCCATCTCTCAGGGGGCGTGAACGGAAACCCAATTGGACAATCGCAACTCGGTCAGTGAGGCGTGGGACCCGGAAAGCGGGCAGACATTCGGGGCGGTCCAGGACCTGGTCCCCATGTTCTTCCTTTTCCAGTTGTTCCGCATCTCCGGCCATCGGGGGCATGGGAGATGGGAAGTCTGGACTCATAGTTCCACGAGGGCTTACGGTGTCAGCCTCATGGTGGATGTGCCCGTGCTGGCGGGGCTTCGGGGCATTCTTGCCTCCGGGCTCTGGGCCCTGGTGTGACGAGGAGGGACCGCCTCCCTGATTGGGTCCCCGTTTTCCCCGGGGAGAAGGGCCTTCAGGGGGGTCCGACCCCCTTCCCTTAGGTGGTTCCTTAGGGTTTCCCGGGAATTGTGAGGGGATCCGGATGTGCCCCGGCGCTGCGAGTGACACAGCGATGGCTTTGGCCAGGCCTGCCATCATATCCCAGGGTATCTGCTGAGAGTCGAGGACTCGCTGGTGCCCACATGTGACTGATGTGTGCACCGCATTTGATCCCAGTCCTGGATTGGGAGATCCGTGGCAAGTGTGGTGGCCTTCTTGACCAGCTGGCCCAGGCGGCACTGGTCGAAGGAGATTGCTGTCAGGGAGTTTTCCTCCATCCAAAGCTGCCCCTCCTCCGTGATCCAGAAGGATGAGCATTCCTTGGCTTTGGGCAGCGAGCTGCTCACCACTGGGTCCTCCGGGTGCTCCAAGAAGGATTTTGGCCCTGGCAGAGAGACCGCCGATCTTGAGGCCCTTGCCAGGCTGGTGATGTACATCTGCCTCAAAATGAGGGTACTGTCCTCATCAAGCTGAGTCTGGGCGGCCTGGTCCAGGTGTGGGAGGCCCCAAAGTGTCTCTCGAGTGCGTCCTCGCACCGGGGTGGGGGCCCCCGGTTTTGGTATGTGGCGCAGGATGGACCATGTCCTGCAGTTGGGTCCTCCCCCAATGAAGACCACTCGGCCCTGCTTTGCTGCCGTGCAGAGCGCTCCATACAGCTCGGGTTGGAGCATGTCGTGGTTCCCTTTTGGTCCCGATCGTAGGATGTCTACTGCCACCACCATGCTGGAGAGGTGCGGGTAGTTGGCATGAAGACAGCTGTCTAAGGAAGTTGGGTCTTCCTTGCCTGCATAGAGCAGGACAATGATGGGCCCACTGGATGGAACTTTGGGCGATGTGCCCTGTGTCCATCTCAGCCGCTGTACCAGACGCTCCGGGATGTTCTCCATCCACGGGAAGATGTCCCATCCCGGTGACAGCTCCGTGGGACTTGTCAGGGGGGTAGCTGAAAGGCGTTGGCCCCCTTCATTCAGCCCAACAGAACTCTTATGAAAAACCACCGGGTCCTGCTTGATGATGTTGGGCGCCGGAAGTGGGATCGGCTGCCTCCTGGGCGTGTTCCTCGGCGTTGCGGTGTGCTGCCAGTTGTCCGGCACTC